CCAGCCTCTTCTCCGTGGTGCCCAGCAACAGGACAAGAGGCAACGGGCAGAAACTGAACCACAGGAAGTTCCGTCTGAACCTGAGGAAAAACTTCTTCACTGTGAGGGTGACAGAGCATTGGACCAGGTTGCCCAGAGAGGTAGTGGAGTCTCCTTCGCTGGAGATATTCAAAACCCGTCTGGATGTGATCCTGGGAAATGTGCTCTAGAGGACCCTGCTTGAGCAGGGGGGCTGGACTAGATGATCTCCAGAGGTCCCTTCCAACCTCAACCATTCCGTGATTCTGTGATAAAAGGATTAGGGATCATATGCAGACACAGATCCATACCCATGAAACAAGCATCAAAATTCAACTCCTTTACAGCACACAGGAAGTGTACACAGATGACATAAAAGTAGTATTAACACAGCCAACGTGATTCTGTGATAAAAGGATTAGGGATCATATGCAGACACAGATCCATACCCATGAAACAAGCATCAAAATTCAACTCCTTTACAGCACACAGGAAGTGTACACAGATGACATAAAAGTAGTATTAACACAGCCAAGACAACCAATTAAAGTTATATGAAATGTAATCTAGTGATATACTAGCAGACATATTCAGATCATATAGGCAACTTTATTTTTGATATTATTAACTTTTAAGTAATTGACTGAAATTCTCTCCTGACTTGATAGACCATGGAATTTCAAAAGGCATGAAACATTTTCTGTAAACAGTGACTTTAATTACAAGAACCCATCAGCTGTACCTATCCTCAAATAATTCAGCTGCTAAACTGCTATAGGAGAAATGGGTTTATATATCATCTATTTCTTTATTCCAATTCACTGCACTTTCTAAAATTAATATTTATTTTTGGACTATAACTTGTAACAGCAGTTTTATACTAATCTGTATACTTAGTCATTTGTTACTCAAATTGCTGTGTTTTCTTAATCTGACTTTGGTTTGAAACTTAACACAAGCATTTAAAAAGAAATAAAAAATTGCCTTTTACAAGTTAAAATATACTAGTAATAGTCAGTCTTAGAATGTATAAAACGTACTCACATGTGCTTTTTAAGAATACATGTTATCCAAAGGACTAATAGAAACAACATACTTAATCCAACTGGTATAGCAATGGAAATAATATCTTCTTTATCTTTAGAGAAAAAAATAGATGTTTATCATTTCCTCAAGTATTCCATTACAAAGTTAGTTTTAAACATCTAAGTCATATAATTAGCACAATTTTAAAAAGCTCTGCCTAAACTAATCAAATTACTCAAGATACTGTGTGGTACTCATTGTATGACATGTACCAAAAAGACTTCGCATCCAACAAGTCACAGCTGCCGAGCCAGAAAAGCAGTCTGCGATGGGACTTCTCAGAACAGATGTACTGTTTTTTTCAATTTTACTTTATTAAATACAATCATACAATAATTTAGATTCAAGGAGACATGTAAAGGTCATCTTGGCCAACTCTGAAATTAGATCAGATAGCTCAGGGTCATACTAAGCCAAGCTTTAAATATTACCAAAGATGAAAAGTCTACCACCTCTTTGGGCAGTTGATGTTTTAGCGTCATAGTGTTATAGGAGATAAGTTTTAAATATACATATACTATAGTTACTCTAACGACTAAAATAGATTTCTGAGCTGTCTTTCCAGCACCTACCACAGGTAGATACTGATAGCAGAGACCAGCCTGCAGCCTGGCATAATTTACCTTCCATCTGAGTAGCAAACTAGCAGATGAATTTACAGGCAAAAAATAAATTCACTCCACACTGCTACAACCAGTTTAAAGCTGTTTCATATATTTTTTTATATTTCGGTTTGGCCATCACTGTGACAATTTGTACATATAATAAAAGCACTCTTCCACAAGCAGAAGTGAGGAAGTGTCTGAGCTTCTGGTTTGTAACCATAACATGAGTCTTACTGGTAAAACCTGATTACAGCAAATAGTAAGAAACAAGAAAAGGTATTTTTCCCCCTCACTGGCCACAACTTGTGCTCATTTGTTAGTTAAGCTTATACGGCAGAAGAGAAAACGCAATGCGCAGCTATTCTAAATCTAGTATCTCAGATGGAAACGTCTACTTTTTGACAAATTGTTAGACACCATATCTTGCAATTGATGGCAAACTAAACGTTGCTCCAACAGCAATCCATAATATTCTACAACTTCACTGATTGCACAATAAGCATTTTGGGTGTTTACTCCTAAACTTAATGTTCTAGCCTGCAAAGCTGTCCAACAAGCCAAGTTAAATTTGGTTAATATTGATCATTCTTCCTTGTCCTGTTCCACACTCAAGAAGAAAAGAATTAGTCTAAAAAAATGCTTAAACAAAAATATCCTGTTTCTTACCCCCAAAAATCTATTTTTAAAATAGTAATAACTAACCTTGAATATTACTTACTGAATTTCAAAGTCTTGAAGGTTTTTGGTTCTCCACTGGTTCCACCAGCTTCATTGGTTGCCATGATATGAACTGTATATTGGGTATTTGCTTGTAAGGACTTCAGTCTGTACTGCAGAACGTCAGGGTTCACTGTTTCATCTTTTTAGGAGAAGATTTAGGTAAACAAATACACAAAGTGTGCATCACAAATAGCACTCTATCAGAGAACTGTAAACTTATTTAGCATCTGATAGATCACAGGGTGCTTTACAGACAATTTGAAATACAAAGCAACCCTATCAGACCTTTGAGATAACATACTTAAATTATCAATGTTTATCAAAGCTACCTAATAGTTTAGGGCAGAAAATAAGCCATTATGTATGTATTTAAATTCACTAAGATTTAAGATAGACCAAGTATAATCTCACAAAATATATTTTACCCTTAAAAGAGTTTTTCTGAGAACATTATACCCTCAAGCTTGGGACCTAACAGACAGACATTAAGATCTACAGATAGTTGACAAAGTCTGTGTTTCTGCAAATCCTGAAATTTAACTATATTTCTAAGCACATGCAGTCAGTCGCTAAACATCCAAAAGGATGCAACCTATCAAACACTGGGACATGACCTCAGTAAAGTCAGAGGAAGTTAGCTGAAAGCAATAGATTTCACCCCCCTCCCCCAAGAGTTTCAACACACTTCTCTGGATAAAACTCAATGTTTCAAATACCTTCTCTACTACTGGAATTGGTATGATATGTTTTACTTTTAAAATTATTTTAAGCAAGGCATATAACATTCTGTATCAACAAAGAATATTGAAAACATGAAAACATATTAAAAAAGTGAAGTCACTAAAACATTTTATACTGCATGAAGCCAAAACCAACTAATGCTATCATTCAACTCGTTCATTCAAGAAACACTCAGGAAATAGATGTGCAGCAATATACCCTGAGATTCAACAAATTCAGTTTCTCTTAAATCAAGGCAGAACAAGTTAAGCTGTAGAGTTAAAAGGTCATCAATGAAGCCACCTTGGCACAAACTCAAAGTGGTATTCTTACTAAAAAGATGCGACATGAGAGAATCCTCAAAAATATCACTTCAGTAGGGTTTTTCCATTTAGAACCAACTCCCTCAAATTACTATTTCAAACTTATTTCCTTAAGAAACTAATCTGAAGCCCTAAAACAGGCACAATCTGTTGCATATGAGAAGCTTTGCTAACTCATATGGAGAATCATTTTGCACCAGCTGAGGCTGCATGTCTTGAGGATGACCTTGTACAAAGCAGCCTGGATCAAACCACTCAGCAACTAACATGGCAAGAATGAGTGTACATAGAGGACTGAATCTGACTGAAATTGTCACAGCTTCCTCTTTTCAATTCACAAATTATCAAGCCCTGGCTCTGATCTGGGTATCCAGAAGCACCTGAAGATATGATAAGCTTTGTTATTTTGAGATCTTAAAAAAAAAAAAAAAATTGTTAGGTGTCTGCTGTGATGCTTAAAACAAAGAAGGAAAAAATTATTTCTGAAATGTTGAGTGATACAAAGTATTTTTTATAAACTATACAGGAAGAACAAAGTTAGACTACAAAAACACACTGCATGAAAGATTCTGCTGAGATTTATGCTATGGAAGTTTTGAATAGAGAGGATTATACTGAGACTTTCTGTGGATACCCTTCCAAAGACAGAAGAATAAAAATATGACAGAAAAAATGATGCCACCAACCTCCAGAGCAAGAAAGCAATACTAAGAACAGAACATTAAGCACATTTGATAAGATGAATCTAAAAAACTGTGCCCAAAGTAGCAATTTCTTGGCAGCTTCTTTTAGTGTCTCAGGTACCATTTGCTATTTTGCTTTTATTATAAAACTGACCATAAGAACATTTTCACCAGAAAATTTCCACTACTCTCTTCCAGAAGCCAAGGGCTTGGGACAGGCATTCTTCCAAGAACATGCACGTAACTTATAAACTCACTAAACCCTCAAGAGCTTTATCATTCGTGAACTTACACAGAATCTACGTCTTTTCAATATATTTTAGCTCTACTTTAACATCTCTATGTCTACCATGATTCTTTCCATTGGGTTCAGAGGTGGGTCATGAGAGGAGAGAGGAGAGATTTGGAGATAGACAGAGACTAGTACTTATGTAAAAAATGGAGAGCAGCAAGTGTGTGACCAGTAACATTGTCGAATTTGTCACAATCCTGCATGTTTTTTGTTTTTTGTTGTTTTTTTTTTTTTACCGTTAGCAGAAAACAAACTGCAAATGTCTCTCATATAGTAGCTTCTGCCCGCATCTGGGAAAGGGAAGAGAAATGACAGTGCCATCATACGCCTCCTAAGTTCAATGCCTGAATCTTGGAGATCCACTAGATTTGCATCCCCTCAGTTACAGAAGCAGAAAGAATGATGTGGATCAGTCATTGCTGCACTACCATAGGTGGTACAATGCTAATAGTAAAGGAAATTCACTAAAAGCAAGCACTGCTGCGCAAAATAAATCCAGAACAGTCAGAGAAATTGAGCAAGAATATACACATACTATTAAAAATTAGGGCACTCACTGGAATGCCTCTATCATTTGACTTAAATCTTAAAAACATTTGTCTGACACAAACATTACGGAATTTTGGTACCAGTACTTTCAGATAGATATTTTTGGCATATAACAAGAAGTTAGGCTAATAACTATAAAAATAATTATCTTCAGACAGCAGATTGTCACAATGTCGTTGAAACCTTTGATGCTTAATGTATACTTACTCAATTCTTTTCCACCCTCAGGTTTATAAAATATCGTATAGTTACTGATAAAGCCATTTCGTTTATCCTTTGAAATTTCTTTCCATTTAATTGTAATTTCATTTTTGCCTGGAACGCCTGTGTCAGCCATAGGTCCTTCTGATGGTTCTACGCAGAAGTATTATAAATTAGAAAAAAGCAAATAAGTCTAAGTGTCACAGTTTTATCCATCTGTGTTACTTTGTGCATACCAGCAACATTAGGTACTGCAATTTTATGTCTTAACAGTGCTCTAATATAGTCCCTAACTTTCCTCACCCTCTCTAATATGAGGTTACTTCTGGTAACAGTTGCCTGCTTCTATTTGGGTTACTGCATTTGAGGACCTTCAGATCACTGAAAGTCTCTAGCCGCAAAACATCACAGAGAGGTTGAGAGGTAAAACATCCTTTAATACTCTCACAGGCCCCTATTACCAGGAAAGCATTCAAAAGCAAGTTCTAGCTGTGTGCGTAAATATGAGTACTCACTGTATACTCCATTACCTCTTTCTAGTAATTCACACGGTTTAATGCTGCATGGTACTAGGTATGTGTGCACACATATATAGACCTATACATATATACATACACAAATTGAAATTTACACCTGAAATCCAGCTGTATAAAGTCAGTGAATTCACCTTACACTTCTACAAATAATGACGCTTTCCCCTTCCCAAAAAACATTTACATCCACAGTTTCTGTCCAACTTGAAGCTTCATGGCTTTTTATGATTTTTAACATGCAGGACTACATATATTCTCTTATATTATAATATTTAGGAAAAGCAAGCACTTCCATTTTACTGCGTGAACAAATTTCCTCATATATCAGTAACAAATATGGCACAACTAACTCGGTCACTGCATTACTAGAATCAAATCTAAACATAGATACAAATTTTAAGAGATTGCCAGTTTAAAAAATTATTAGATGTTTGCACCAACATCCATAATAAATGCTTTATAAACAGCATGTAAACTTTACAACAAATAAATAGATCCAAACAGCACCATATACATATTAAGACATGTATTTTATTTACTAAACAATTCTGTAGGTGGTCTATGAACAGAAATCAAGAAGCTTGACTCCTGGGTTATTTAAACAATCTTTTTCTCTCCTTCAGTAATGCCAGTACTAAATCGCTCAGCGATAATACACCTTAATGGATGCACTACAACACAGCTTTCACAGCATTAATATTTGTAAATACGTACTTTTTTCTTGAATGTAAGTTTGTATGGAATAGGGAGCTCCTACTTTATTTCCATAGAGAGGATACACTGAGATGTTATAGCATATAAATGGTCTAAAGGTTTCTGTAAAGAAAAAAGGATATTTATGTAATTCTCTAAAAAAATCATACAATGAAAGTAAAAAACCCCCTGCAATTTCTTGCTAGCTGGAGATGGAGTTCTGAATATATTCTTCTCCATATTTCTATTTTCTTCAGCTTTTTAACAAACTGAGTATATATTTGTCTTAAATACTCGTTACTACATTTAACACAATGAACTATTTGATAGCATTTCTAAGAGTGCTTGGATTCTCACTCATTTTTCACTAGAAATAGTTTGAATGAGTAATTACACTTCAGCCTTATGTAGCTTCTAGGTATGAAGCTACCTACTCATCTCCAATAGCCTCTAATAGTATCCAATGGATATCTTTGATTATCATGTCTTCTCTGGGTTTCTACCTCTGGAAAAGAAAGTTCACATGCATCACAGAAACAGTTTAAAAGGCACAAGGGAGCTCCAATTCTTAACCTTACGTTGAAGTTACAGTTATGCAAACTGCAGATCTACTTCTAACCAACTCAAAAGTACAATTCTCCATATGAAATCTCTGCACTGGAATTTCTAAGACATAGCTCTGGAAATGATATTTCAAACTTTGAGTGATCTGACAGCCCAGTACGGCACTCCTCCCTGCTTATAAGGAACTCTCTTCAACTCAGGAAGGGCATATCTGCGCCTCCACTTCCAGTGGGATGAAGCCGCACTATGTCAGCTCTCTGCAGCTTTTCATTCCTTACATATATTACAGTTCAGCACAGATTACAGTGGTCCACATGCTTCTCTAAAATAATTCCACAAAAGAATGACAGAAATAGGCCTGAGCAACAGTAAGGTCAAAGTTGCCTTGAAATGTCAAGTATGACTTATGTTTAGGGTAACCAAAGGTCTGCCCCATGCTTAGGAGCAAGGAATTTTAACTGAGTTAATAAATAGCATTTCATTCCTTACAGTAACTTGTTGGAATAGCACAGAGCAATTTTCAGCATAAGACTCAGAATTTATCCATCTTAGTTCAAAGTGTAATCAACTGTTCTTGAATTTGATTTCAAGTAGTTTCTTTATTTTTACTGTGTCAGAAACACTACTTTTATAAAGCAGTGTTGTCTGAACCAGTAAAACAAATTTCATAGGCAAGCTAGACTGTCACCATTAACAACCCGTGTGTTCCTTTCCACTTCAGAAAATGCGGAGTACTTGTTTCCTGAAGACTGAAATTTTTTCCCTTGATGTGGGATTCAGAAAGATCCTTACATGAACATGAGTGACCTCCAAATTTAATAAATTTAATTTCACCCATAGAAAAACAAAGAAGAAATAAACCAAAATTCACTTTTTAATATATATTAACCATTTTAACCATTGTTCCTGTATTTGTAAAATAAATATTCAGATGTATGAAAAGAAGAGCAGATGCATTTCCATGTTATTAGCTAAAAATAGCATGCTAGGGATATTCACATTGATATTAACATTCACAATTTTCCCTTTGTACACTTTTCTTGACCTCTACACACTGTTGTAAAGTTAGATTTTCTATGGCAACTACATACACATAGCCAAATCATTACTATTTAGAGAGTTTTGCAATTAAAAGAGTAGGCCTCAAAGAAAAAGGTGAGCAGATCCTCACCTATTTGTCAGTGCATCTTAAGGCTACTCAAACATCTAAGAAATGCCTTAGATATTTAACATGCCAGATTGACCAGTCGCTCCATTTATTTATTTTAAAGGAATATTCCCCCGAAATCCTCTTTCAGATTTCTTGTTCTTCCTCTATCACACATGAAGACACATGCTACTTCTCATCTTTGAATTCAGTTTTTTGGCTCTAGATATCTCTGTTAAAATAGTGGGCATCTGTCAGGCCTCCCTACTTGAAATTTCATGCCAGAAAAATCATGCCACATAAGTGCTTGAATCTTATATGGGAACAAATACTGTCTTGCATGGTGTGTGAAAATTTGAGACAGTTAAAATTGCTGTTAAAATATATGCAGAGATTTCAGTAAAACATGTAATACTCTTATTTTTAAAATATTCTAAGAAAAGCTGCAAGACTTCAAATATTTTAATATTAAATTTATGCATTCTCTTAAATATCAATACTATTATGCTTTATGTGCATACTGTGATACAATTCACAGTATGGTGTTCTGGATCAGGATCAAAGGGGATCTCAAAGGTGATATAAAGGCAAATACCCAATTCCTGTTACCTTTATCTAGAAGCCAGTGGAAGTTAGATATCTTAATCCCCTTTGCTCTTTTAAGCACATACTTCAAGTATGAAAATGATCAGTTTGACAGAAAATAAAGCAATAACGCTAACTTTATTTTCAAAAACCGCTCCCTTGTGACTTCATCGTTGTTTCTGCTTTCCAGTCTACGTACAAATACATGTACGTCTGTACATTGTCACAGCTATAATGGGTAAATTAGCATACTTTTGTTAGTTCTCCAGTTTGTAGAATTTGATATATATTGCCATGATCTACGAAAAGGATCTGGCTCCAGTTCCTCATACCACTCAACAACGTATCTGGTTACTTCTGATCTGGAGGACATCCACTCCACAGCCACTTCTTCATTTGCTGTAAAGGTCCTCACTGTTTCAATGATCTGAGAAGCTAAAAATTTAACAGAATATGTTACAAATTTAATCTGAATAAAAACTGCAGTAAGAAAACAATTTAGTGATAGCAAACTGAGATTGTTTCTTTAGAAGAACACGAGGCTTTGACAAGATTAAAAAAAAGTGGAGGTTGTAAAACACTGCTTTATTTTTATGTACGTTCTCATGTATGTAGTTAAACTTGTAATCAAAATGCAAGTAGTGCAGATACAGAAAATTTGACTGAGACTTCAAAAAGAAACAGTCAGCAAACCAAACCAGCAAGTTCAGAGACAATTAAGCAAAAGGGAACTGTCAAGCTGCAGAACAGAGGTAATATAAGGCTGAGTTAAAACTCAACCTTTCAAAATAGGGGGGAAAAAAAGATTAACGTTAAAAAAAATATGTCACAACACAGAAGGAGATGGGAAGTCTCTTACTGTGGGATACAGAAGTGGATAGAGAGGTAGTCGGTAGCTTTTAGGACAAGATGACATCATGTCTACGTATCCAATTTTCTGATTAGATTGGAATGTGACTGCGCAATCTCAGAGGACCACGTACACTTTTTTTCCATGAAAAAAACTGATGTAGAAGTGATTCAGTGTCAAACACAACCTCCCTTCTGCAGTGTGGGTAGGCAGCAGAATGTTGCAATACAAGGTTAAAGGAGATACCAGAATTCAACTAAGAGCCAAGGAACATAACTAATGTGCTGGAGTAGACCAGCTTCCTGTCCCTGACAATGGATAGAACTAGGTATTCTTTGGGAACGCATATGAGAACAGAAACATGTTTCTCTCAGCTTCCATTAAGGCATCTTAAAGACTTCCATTAAACATGTCTTTTGTTTATATGACATCGTTTAATGCACTGTAATAACATTCTGCGGTAACAAATTTCATGAGGTGGCCGACAGGTAAAACCAAATTAGGTGGGGATATATCTGGGATGTCCAAGATTAAAATAAATTAATAATATAATAGAGCCTCAACAATAATCTTACATAAAGGAAATACCATACCTGATAACAAAATACGGCAACCAGAAAGATAACATTATACCAGCAATCTTAATTTCTCTTCTGTTCTGGGGTATGCTATTCAATTTAGTCTCTGCAACTTTCAACATATTAAATAAAGCAGAAAGACTTGATGTTCCCCCACTGCCAGAAGAGTAATGGACTATACATCTTTGTACAGCCTCTCCTATTTACAGTTCTAGGGGAAAAAAATCCTAGGCACAATTTTGCTTCTGCTACACCTGAACTTGAACAGATGTCAAAAAAATCATTTGGCGTAATGAGAAAAATATATTGCAATATTCAGAAATCTTACTTTTTTCATCAGTAGATGGAATCCTCAAAATAGCTTCAGGAGAATCTCCAGCAGAGTTATAGGCAGTAACAGATATTATATACGCCTCTTCATTTAAAAGTAAAATAATTTTCTCATCAGTAGTGATGTTCATCATTTTAAGAGCAGCACTGTTTTCTGGAAAATACAGTATTCTGTAGCCTAGAATTCTCCCAGGTGATGGAAAGTGATTTAATAGCTATTAAAAAAAAAGTAATTAGTGTTTCACAGTGCTGTTTATATAATCAAAAGTATATACTGTATTCAAACATTTTAGCTACATACAACCAAGATAATGGAGAGAGAAAGGGGGAGGGAGGGAGGGAGGAAAACATTCGGGTTTTTGATTGTAAACATACTCTAGTTCACAATAAGGTCATCATTTTGCTACTCAACATAGATTTGTCAGAACATCTCACTACTTCATAATAGCAGTTCTGTAAACAATTAGAAAGTATGTTTTATTTCCATCATGTTACTGTTGTTATATCTTGAATACTTTATAATGCTACATTGTGCTCTAAGAATAATTTTATTATAAGAGAGTAAAAACTTCTTAAAAACTTCTAATAAATTAAGAAGTGGTCTAACATAACAATGCCTGAATGCAACATCTACTGCAAGACACCACTGTGATCATCAAATCACAAAAAGTATATATACCTTCCACATAAGATGTACAGATCTATGTCCAGCTGAATGTGAAGATTCAATTACCCTCCATAAATCCACTTTTTCTGAGGGAGCTATTTAAAGACCAAAAAAAAAAAAAAAAAACAAACTTGAAATGTCTTTAATATTGCAAAATATGGTAAAAATATGGCCAGTATGGTAAAAACAAAAGGCTTCAAAAATACAGCCCAAGATCAACTTATTAAAAATAAGTCTTTCCTTGTATTTGTAATATTATGCCCTTTTCTCCTGATCAGTATAGCTTCCTTTCTAAGCAGCTTGCAGCTTCCTTGTCCTTCTCAAAACTTTCCTGTCCTTTAATTTCCCTTTCTTCAGATTTCAGACACTGCATTATACTCAAAAAATATTTATTCCATCTCTTTCCTGACTGCCATTTTTTAACCACAGACATTTTAGTTAGATTATTAAATTCTTAGGGCAAAGACATTATCTTACATTGATGCACTATGCACATTGACAGCACTGTATAAAATAATTTATCTTAACCTGTTGATTGTAGAATATGTAGTAGATTCTCTAATATCTTGGTTCATTTTGAGGTAAATAGTGCTAGAAAGAGGAGCTGAAAAACAGTTTCAATATATATATATGGTTATGTTTGTGTGTATATGTATAGATGTATGTTTTAAGTAATACTTGATTTATGTAATATTTCCGAATTATCAATGTTCTAGTCATTTACTCTTCAAATTTTTTAGTATTCTAGACATTAATGAGTTTCCTCTAAAACTGTGTACTTTATATAGTACAGAAATAACAGGAAAAAGATGGTATTTCCTTCTGCTTTATTTTGTTAACTTATAGAGGAGATTTGCTTGTCTTGTTTAACTGGCAATTTAATTTCTCTGCTTATATTTTATTACACATTCTCACCACGCACGCTTTTGCTACAATACTATTTAGCACATGTGTTTATTCTCCATCTGCATTCTCAATTTTTCCTGTCTTCCTTTCTCTCTATTCATTTTTTCCTTTGTATTTAAATTCCCTTTCATATTCTTCTCCATTCATTGCTCTTGCCTTCCTTTCAGTTTTCACCCTCTATATTTAAACTGAGAACAAATGTGCATTTTTTTAAAAAAAACTCTAAATTCAATAGACTGATATTATGCCAAAAATAATGTTTTTTATTATTAAATTCTAACATCCCAAAGTATATCCAAAGAAAAATACACTGTAAATTTTTAGTCTACCTTTCTCTTCCGTGCTTGCCATTCTCTCTCTACTCCAGTCACTCCAAAATTTTGATTCAACACTGATACACTGAATAGCAACTGCATACTCTGTGGAATCCCACAGACCTGTGAGATTAAGTGATGCTATTTTCTCTCCAGAAGTCAGGTTGACAGTTACAGTTTCCTACAAGCAGATATATGAACAAAAATAATTCAGCGTAAAAGGAGGATGCAGTACGTACTTGACTTAATGTATCAAAAAAAATATATAAATCAAAGGATATACCTTTCATTGTTTCCCATCTCACTCCTCCAAACCCCAAAACTACTTATTTTGTGTTTTATATTTCATGTATAGCGTCCTTATTCTTCCTGTAAAACTGCCGGCTTTGAGAAACTTGAGCCTGAACTAGGTCGGGGCTGACTAACCTGTGGTTTGAACTGCATGCAGCTCACAAGCAGTTCTAGAGCAGGTGAGCAGGTGCAGAAGGAGCTAGATAACTGCACTGCCAAGGTGTTATTTAGCAAATGGGTATTGCTAAAGGCAGTATCATCATACTGCCCTGGATACAGCTCTATATCACAGCAGTGCCACGCCTTGGGAAGCAGTGATCACCTGTAGCTTGTGAGTCAGTGTGTACTTCTGTGTTTTTGCCTGAGATACAAGGTATTGTAGCTCTTAGCTATGTAACAATGTGGCTGTAGGCATCCCCAAGGTTCATCAACTTTTAATTAAAATGTAAAAATCAAGGGAAATACAGAAAGTTCTGGTACTACGAAAAAAATCCTGGAAGATGTAATCCTTTCAACTGTGAAGGAAGACAAGAGTAGGAGGAAATAACTAATGCAGTACCTTCTTTGAAGAGTAATGACAAAGTAATATCAAATATAGGTCATCCTTACAAAAAAAAATATCACTGTTGGAAAGTCAGAAACTAGAAGGTTGTTCCAAAATAAAAGGTGAAAGAAGACATGAAGTGCAGCAAAGCTGATGCCAATACAAAAAGGCATTTTAAGTGTTCATATACAGAAGGACTGATGGAGTCACTATACTGACATAAGCGTCTTCTCCAAACTGCAAAAATTAACCAGTTGCCCACTACTCTCTTCCCCTTCAAATTACAAAAAACTGAAAAATATAAATGCTAAAATAAAATTTTCAAGCTAGCTAAACTCTCCAATGTCAAAGGTAATTTTCAAAATAAAGGGGATTCTGTTCTTGGGAGCAAAATTCAAGCAGCAATGTCATGCTAGTGCACAAGAACAGAATCACAAACCTGTGATGGAGCACCAGTCTTATCAGGGGAGCCTTCCGCTGAAAAGTGTGCCAGACCAACAATGCAACAAGCAGACAGCCATGCCTTTAAAAAACAGTATGGGAACTGCACTGCCTAATGAAACAACCCTCAACCTCTGAAAATTTTAGTCCATTCTGATCTCAAACTCATTGTCAAAAAAAGAAAAATGCATCTATGAGGATGAATTCTGGGAGCTAAAATACTGGTAGGTAGCCAACCCATAATAAAAGTGGCTTCAAAACCATCATCAATTTCCTGCAGAACTCAACATGCAATCGCAGAGATATGGTCTATCTTTTAGTAACTTGACAAAAGGCTGTAAACAATATTTAATTATAATTAGAAACTAAGTATATGCAAGTGGAAAAATAGGTAATCTGTCTTTCATAGTCCACAACAAACTCTTTAGATTCTTTTGGTAGATAGTCTTAAGGGGTCAGGAAAATAGTCATTTGCTCAAACACATTTGTTTTGCATATCTGCACTCAGAGAGAGAAAAGCAGTTCCTATATCAAGATACTTATTTGAGGCTGTCATCTTTGGCCATTACCATTGGATTGGCAAAGGATAAAACTACAAACAATGCTTGCCCAAGCTCCTACAGAACTAAACTCACTGAAACCATCTTTCCTCATCATTGTTAGCAGTTTTTCTCTTGAAGGTCTGCGGATGAAAGCAGAAACCCTGAGAACGAAGATGGTTGTATAGTTTGATAATGAAAAACTAGATGAGTGATTTCTTATGCAAGCGCTAACAAATAGACACAAAAGCTGTAAAGAGAAGATAAAGCTGTAACTTGGCCAAAAATGTGAACATTTTCAACGTTTCGGAATGATCCCATATGCATGTAAGCATCACAAGGACAAGAGTGTTTTGACTACAAAGACGTTCTCCAAACATCTTGAAGTGATCTTTTAAATAACTGAATCCATTCTCCGATACCCAGGGTGGACTAGAGCCATCCTGCCCATCATCCAGGATATTAAATCCACAATCCAATAACTAATATTTCATATCTGCAGTAAAGAAACTTAGGCATGAGAACATGAGAAGGATGCTAATTAGAAACAGTTTAGGAATCAGGAACTTCTTTAAAGTTCTGAGAACTACTATTAGTTTCCTTGATGAATTTTTCTTCTCTCTCAGAATTAAAAGTTTAATGTGCAAAATACTGAAGTGAAGACAGACATTAGAGCTTAATGAGCTTAGAAAAAGTCAAACCACCTGACTCATTCTTAAATTTGGAAGAGGACACATTAACACTGTAAATGAAATTGCTTCCATAGTGAGAAGCATCAGAATAGACCATTTGGATGAAACTAAAGTAGCAAAAGACTAAACAACATTGTGTTTCTAGTATGCTCTTTAAGTGTCAGAAAGATAGATTCAGGAAGAATAACTTCCCTTGTTTTCTATATTACAAAATTAATACTTTAATTCACTTGAAAATTAGTGGACCATTATTCTATCTTACAATTATTGTGGTTGAGAGTCAATGCTGTTTTCATCACCAGAATGTAACATGGAAATTTAAGTATTTTGACTGATTCTCTGTGTAACAGGTCATCCCTGAACCTTTCACAGAAAGGTTTGTAAGTACGGTATGTACCAAAATAGACATTAACCAAAAGGAAGTGATCAGTTCATCCTAGACAATGAAACAACGATCATAAGATCATGAATACCTAATTACCTTCCACTAAAATAACTAGATTTTATTATTACGGAATCACAGAATCGTTTAGGTTGGAAGGGACCTCTGGAGATCATCTAGTCCAACCTCCCTGCTCAAGCAGGGTCACCTAGAGCATATTGCCCAGGATCACATCCAGACGGGTTTTGAATATCTCCAGGGAGGGAGACTCCACTACCTCTCTGGGCAACCTGGTCCAGTGCTCTGTCACCCTCACAGTGAAGAAGTTTTTCCTCAGGTTCAGACGGAACTTCCTGTGGTTCAGTTTTTGCCCGTTGCCTCTTGTCCTGTTGCTGGGCACCACGGAGAAGAGGCTGGCCTCATCCTCTTGACACTCCCCCTTCAGATACTTGTACACGTTTATGAGATTGCCTC